AGAAGAAACTCCAACGAGCGCACAGCAGTAGCTTGATGCGTCAAAACAGTAAAAATGACAAAGGCAGAACACGAAGAAGAGGTTCTCCTTCTGCATGTGATGGGGAAATGGATAAAATGAGCGTAAATCATGCGAGTGGAATTACTGACTCCAAGCGCAGAATAAGTGCCCTGTTGCCAAAAAAGAAGAACACTAATTTTTCTAGTAAAGCACTTTACTTCATATGCCCAGAAAAAAGAGATCGGTGGTGTTAGTGTGGCGATCTGAAGTGCACTATTATACTGGTCAAATGAGAATACCCTCCTGTGACTATTACATCACCGCGTCAGAAAGACTGTTCGATAGCGAGGATGAAAGCGGAATACAACGGCAAATTGCATAAACTCCAGACACAATCGCTCAAATAGTTGTTTGGGATACAAACCATCAACGAAGAGCTCAAGAGGAAGGTCAGCAAAATGGAAGGCTTGCGAGTACAAGATGCACAATGTATGAGAGATCTCTTTGAAGAACGGGACAAGTCAAAGCCAAAAATACTCAAAGAACAGAAAAGGTCGCTGAAATTAGAAGCAGACGATCAACAACAGTCAACTCTGCGGCGAGATCAACCTGTGTTGACGAAAGAAGAAGAGCATCTCGAGAGAACTCCATCAGAGCAAGGGCGCAACGAACAGCTCGTTCGCGAAAAGACAGAGTTGCAGCAGCTTGTTTCGAGGATTAAGAAGAAGCATTCAGAGGAAGTTGAAGCGCTAGATGAGGAAATCGAGCAACTGAAAACTGTTGCTGTCGAGTTGGGATTTCTGTGACGATGAGGACAAGTCAAAGAAGGGTATTTGTGGTCGAACTGTATCCTGAGACTCCCATTGGGTTGATATGAGCCGAGCGACCCCATAGTGGTGAATGCGTTTCCAGTCATCCCGGATGTATCGAAGAAACGATTGTGAATTTAGATCTCATGCTATGGATTTTAAAAATAATAGATTTATACAGAAGCCCGAATTCTTAGATTTCGATCGCACATCACTTTCGACTTTCGACGTCCTCCATGAATCGCTGTTTCTTCGACTCGTTGACATTGTCACAGAAACCCCAGCTCGATAGCAACCCTTTTCTCCATTTCCTCCTGTAAAGATTCAACTTTCTCTAAATTGTTCGTCTTCATCTTCGAAACAAGTTGCTGCAACTCCATCTTCTCGCGAAGAAGTTGTTGGGTGCTCTCTTCTAATATCGTGTTTCTTCCCAATTGCTCTTTTAACTCGACAGTTCCAGTTTTCAGTTGCTTGATTTCCTCATGCAATGCTTCAACTTCCACTAAATGCTTCTTCTTCATCTTCGAAACAAGCTGCTGCATCTCAGTCTTCTCGCGAACGAGATCTTGTTCGCCTCCCTCTGATTGAGTACTCCTTCCCAACTGCTCTTCTACTTTTGTCAACGTGTGCTGATGTCGCTGTAGAGTTGACTGCAGTACTTGACCGTCCACGTCTTGTTTCAGCGACTTTTTCTGTTCCTCGAGCATCCTCCGTTTTAAATCGTCCCGTTCTATAAAAAGGTCTCGCATGCATTGTGCATCTTGCACCAGCATGTCTTCTATTTTGCTGACCTTACTTTTGAGGTTTTTGTTGCTTGTTTGTATCGCAAGTAGCGATTTGAGCGATTGATTCTGGAGCTTGTGTAGCTTGTCTTCAAATTCCGCTTTCATCGTCTGGCGAAGAGTATCAGCGTTCTCCAGCTGGTGCGCCAACCCCGCCACCTTCTTCGACGTCTTCTCAAGTTGATCTCTCAAACTCTCCTTCTGCGCTTTATGCGCCTTCGTTTGCTTCCACAATATAGCAATAGCTATTTCACCACGTTGGAACTTTTCTTGCAATGCATCATTTTCACGCTCCAGGCCCTCTTTAGCAGTGCGCTCATCTTTGCACTGTTGCAAGAGAGCTTCTTGCGCTCGACTAAGCGTTGATAGTGACGCAGATGCTGAATTGATCTCAGCCATAAGGGCATCATTCCTATTTCGGAGAAAGGACATCTCATGTCTGCTATCCGCAATGGACTGATCGGAGGCAAGTGCATATTTGCGAAGACTGTCAATATCTGCCCTCGCGTCCTTCAACTTTTTAATCAAAGATTTGTTTTTGTCTCCAAGTGTATCCGCCACTTCTTCTAGTTGAGCTACATGCACTTGGCAAGTCTGCAACTGATGTTGGCTCTCGGTCTTCTCCTGCTCGATTACTTCACACTTCTGCAGTAATTGCTGATTCTCCTCGGAGAGTTCTTCTATTTTCACGACAATATCTCGTTCTTTGGCTACAAGTTGTTCATTCTCACCTTGTTTGGATTCATGATCATCTCTTTGCGTCTCAGTGCATGAAGTGTGCTTAAAGAAATTCTCTGAGTCAATGGCCTGTTCATCTGTGGAGCTGGTGGCGGCAAGTCTCCTTCTTCGTTTAGCGGGAGCCGCTGTTGTTCGATTTTGTCTGTCGTTACAATTCATTTTCCAACAATTCAAGTTTGTCTTTACTTTTCTCTGAAAGCAAGATGGGATTATGATTGCTACAATCTTACTATTGCGCTTTCTCTTTATGCTGTGTCAACTTCCAAATATTCGTAACGAGAAAGTACGAGTAGGAAAATTCCAAGAGAAAGATTGCAGCCAAAGCCAATCTACAAAGCTTTCGTCTCCTGGAGTCCCAGAGCTTTTTGCAACTCATTTTGCCGCCTCCTTTAACGACGACGCAGCAGGGGATTGTCAACGGTTTACAATTCCACCGACGCTATATCATGACATGTTTCCCCCGTTACTGTTGTTGCAACGATGTTTAGGTGGTTCACTCTCTTGCTGCAGTAATCGTGGCTCATCACATGCATCATAATCACACATGCATCACGGGAGTGGAAACGCCTAATACAGTACCTCAGATCTTTGGCTTACTGCGAACCCTGGCGACCCCTCATGCTTCACGGTTCGCTATGGCCACCGGTAAATGGCAATGAGAGTCCATCATTAAATTTTGTAAGGCAATTCTTATTTCAAATCATGTATTTACAGTAGCAGCAGGCCACTACAACTAGGCACTGGCACCAACTGAATTGCAACCCAATGCTGCCTCCTCCTCAGAACAACAAAGCAGCCAAGAACACAGTCAGCACCTTCTTCTTCTTGAACGAAGCCCTCGTCAAAAACTCGCTTCCTAATAGCACAGCAGAATATGGCACGGGCATCAGATGTCCGCAGTGTCACCACATCAGACTGCCACACAGCAAATGAAGCTGTGCTTGTTCAACAACTACCAACCCACTATCGAAGATAGCCAACTGGCGCCTTCTTTTCGGGTTCTTCTGCTTGGTGTTTCTTGGAGTGACTCTGGTGGGTTGTGGTGTGAAGCTGGTCCTTTTGAGTTGCGCGCGAAGCGTGCGACTCAAAGGACCAGTCTCAGATTTCCCGTAAGACGTGAAATCTGAGACTTGCTTGTCTGCCAGGCCTTGACACGAAACAATCGTGTCAAGGCCCAACAGGGTGTGGTGGGATGGGAAAGAAAGAAATAACTCTATCTTTCTGTCAGTATACTTGCACACAAGTTCGATATGTGTAGATCGGACTTAGGTTGCTGGTGCAATACTGAGATGACGGTCGCCCTAGCGTCGTTCATGGAGTCACTATTGAGTCCATTGGTTCGACCGCTTTCTTCCGTCTACGTTAGACAATCGATGCCAGTCGAATCTGGTCTGTCTGCCGCCCGGCTGCTTATAACTTGTTCACTATGATAGGTCAGTCTTGCCAAGTTACTCTTGGTCTTACTGCCTTAGCTTTACCTAAGCCCCGCCGAGTCTTGCCCAGTATTGCAGTTCCGTCTCAACACTGGATCTATTCGTGCATCCTTTATTTCAGTCAAATGTAAATCATCATAATATTTCTTTGAATCAATTTGAAATTTGTATTCGAAAGTATTGTCATCGCAAACAAAACGACACTAAGTTAGTACCTGAAACAGATCGAAGTTGGACAGCCTTGTGATCCGCAATCTCAGGCAACCAGACCTGTCTATGCTACAGCTCTGAGTGGTTAGTTTCGCCCAATATGTGACTTAATCAGTTACGGTCCCTAGCATCTGTGGAGACGTCCGTCGAGCTAAATCCAGCCAACGAGCTCTCTGAGTCAACAGATTTTGAAGTACTTCCCCCTAGCTCCCCAAGCACCAAGAACTCCCCGAGTGTTGAGAGCTTTCCAAGCAAGTTGCGCAAAGATAGATCCTACTACATTGGATAGAGATAGAGTTGCAGCAGAGTCCTCTGCTGGATCTACACCCGAGTCTCTCGCCCTAGTCGATCTTCCAGACGACATCTTCAAAGAGTTTTCAGTAGGTTCCAACTTCACTGAACCAAGCATAGGAGAACCTTGCAGTCCCGAGATGGCAACGTCAAGCGGAACTAGAGCCGGTGGATCCAATCCGCCAACACTTTTTCAAGTTTAACAGCCAATCATGGGCAAATTGATGCTCATCGACAGTGATGGCAAGCAGGTAGCTGTTGTTGGAGGAGGTGCCCCAAAGGATGACTAGTCCGCCCTAGACCCAGCTTGACTCAAGGCCTACTGTGCAGGCCAGATCCGTACCATCTCTATGACGGCAAAGATCAAGCCATGTGAAAGGACTTGCAACCAAGTTCAACCTCAAAGGGAACCTGCGAATGTTTCAGGGCAAAGTTATTCAACATCTTGTGGCAAATGGACTTGGCACAATCGCCGATGTACCTCATTGCCAAACTAGTATACCTGTGCATGTTGTCGAGGAGCATCTTTCCTTCACAATTGAGAGTGCGAGGAAGCAAGTTGCTGCTCAGCTCCTAGAGTACAACAAGTATGACTCGGCCAATGAGCAACTCTGGAGCCAAGCTCTTTCTTGAGAACAGTTTGGAACCAAGTCTTCTTGAGAAGTTGATGATGTGAATCAAGACAACAGACTCGTTTCCAGTTGTTTTCATTACCTTGATGTACTTGAACCGCTCTCAATCAGTTCACTAGTTTGAAGCTATCAAAGAGAGCATCAGAAAGCGCAAGCCTTTGGACTACCCTGGCGAGGACATTTTGTTGATGTCGGAAGATCACAAGACTGACGCCAAGGAATTGGTCATGGCTGGTCAATACCAACATATCCTCATAGGGTCCATGTTGGACGGTTATCTCAAGGCTGGTCCAAAGGAACACAACTTATACTGTCACAACCTGTTGAGCGAGAGTCAGAAACTTGAGGGAGCATTGTTAGACATTGGATACATGGATGAGAAAATTGCGAGAACAAGATATACACTGTATGAAAGGCCTTTATGAAGAATGGGACAACTTAAAGCGAAGGCTACTTGAGGAGGAAGTGGAAAAGACATGGTTGCAGCAGCTTGTTTCAGGATGAAGAAGAAGCATGCAGAGGAAGTTCAAGTGTTACATGAGGAAATCGAGCAACTGAAAATGGTTGCTGTCGAGTTGAAATTTATGTAGCTTTAATTTGCTTGCTCCTGTCATTGTGTAGCCGATATTCGCAATGGCTGTTGGGATTCTCGGTCTTCTAACGTAGACGGAAGAAAGCGGTTGAACCAATGGACTCAATAGTGACTCCATGAACGACGCTAGGGCGACCGTCATCTCAGTATTGCACCAGCAACCTAAGTCCGATCTACACATATCGAACTTGTGTGCAAGTATACTGACAGAAAGATA